TTTACTAAATTTAAGGCTACTCATGAGTACTATGAAATGTTGTTAATCTATCTCCTTATTTAGACATAAAGTCACAAAGTGTTTATTATGTGCTCTTCTAATGAAGAGAATTCTAAAAACTCTATTGTTAAATCGAATTTTAGGTTTTAGCCTTGTTTGAAACATAAGAATTTATGATGCTGAAAGTTTGTTTATTTTATAATGCTTTAATTAGGTTTTTCTTCTTCCTTGACATAATTTTAATCTAAAATTTCTTTTCTTCAAAATTAACTCTTCTTTAATATGCTCTTAATGAATCTAAGCAAGGCGATCCATCAATTTAACTCTCTGATTCTGATTATGAAACCAATTTTTCATTAATTTATTATTAAAATCTAATTAATTTTTCTTTTGAAAGTAGCATACTTCCTTTTGGAATTTAAAAGCAAGTTTATCTTTTAACAGCTGTTTTCTTCATCATTATTAATTTAACAATTTTTCTAATTAAACTATGTTCCAAAGGAAAAATAAGTCCTTCATTATATTCTTTAATTTCTGTTTAAGCTCTTTTGTGTCTCATTTTAATAACAGGATCTAATGGCTAAGTTTTACTTCTGGTTTTTTTAATTTTATTATTCTTTTTCCCCAAAAACTCTATATAGTAAAATGAAACTTACTGTATTGCATTTTCATTCTTTGAATTTTCTTTTTCTTCGCTTTTACTGCCATAAGATATTAATATTTAATAACTGTTTTTGGAGCTTTATTATTGAGGCGCTTTTATTTTTCACTGATTAATTCATAATTACTCCATCTCCTTTGCAACTTATTAGCAATAATGGTGTTTTTTAATTATAGGCTAGTCATTGATTTTTAACTCCTTGAAAAAAATTCTAAAATTGGCTTAGAAGAAGCAAGACGAATAGGACTTCTTTCGCTAGGTAACTCTAATTGTATTTAATTTTTTAATGGAGAATTGTGAGTTTCTTAAAAAGTGCGTGGATGAATTTCGAATTTGAAGCTTTTAGATTTACATATTTTTCTATTTTTTGTTTCTTTTGTATCATATGATGATTTTAACAATATCTTTTATTTTTTAACTAATCTTTCTAACTTATTAGCTGTTATATGATTTCCAAATACAACATTTTTGTGAATCATTTAATTAGCAAATTTATTCACAATATTTTGTTAGTAATTATTATTTTTTTCTTTTGATATTATCAAAAGGCGATATATAATATAGATAAAATAATCAATCCACACTTCTTCTAATTCATAATTTAGATTTCATTTAAAACTCAAGAATCATTTTGATTTTTTAGTTTTTTATAATCCTATTTTTGGAGTCTTAGATCATGAAAATGTCTGGATTTATTAATAGTAAAATAATTTAAACATATTTATGATTATAGATCTCAATAGAGTATTTATATCTTATAACAAAGTTGATTTAATTTAAGTGATACCTTCTAATTTATTCTGATTTTTAAGCAAGCGGGTTAAATTATCCTTTTTAGTAAATCAAAAATTTGAATAAATCTGTATATATAGGTTTGATAAATGTGTGAATCATTCGAAATATGAGGATTTATGATCAATATTTTCAATATGACATAAATTCTAATAATTTAGGCAACTCATTATAAAATCTTACAATCTTACGAACTTTATATATTATTCTTTTCATTTAGTAATATTTATGCACAATAAACTAATAACTAAATGTTCTTAAATAAATTAATTTTAGAATAATTAACCCAGCATACTGATCAATGACTTTAAGAATATGTTGATTTTACAAAATAATCTCTTTTTATGGAGAAACATGTAATTTAGTTATGCTTTATAGTTTTTCAACTAAAATTCTTATAAAAATAAGTCGCTGTATACATCAACTTTACTTATTAATGCTTCACTAACTTCTATTTATTTATTATCTTTATTTTTATCTAATTATTTTAATTAAATTCTTTATAAGAATTTTCTTTAGTTTTATCATTTACCTTTTTTAATTTACAAATATTTATATCATCTCTAATTTTTATATTACCTTAACTGTTTTGAATATAAATTTATTATAATCCCTTGTTAATTTAACAGTATATTAATTTCAAAATAGTTTAAGAAATTCTAAAATCATAAGATTTAAATTTTTCAATTAGAATCTAATAATATATATGAATTCTAAATAGCTTCTATAATTTGAGAAATATATAATGTTAAAGAAAATTAATATATTTGAAAGCAGGAACTTACCATATACAATTTGACTTATAAATAATATAATTAATGTAATAAAACGAAGATATTAACAAAGTGTACACTTTGGAGAAAACTTTAGGAGAGTATTAAATTAATATAAGTTAAGGGGAGCCTTTGGAGTTGTGAAAAGAGCAGTTAAAAAGAGTTCAGGTGAACATTTTGCTGTAAAAATAATTAATAAGTATTTGATCCATATTGATTGAAGGGAAAATTTATCTAACGAAGACTTATTAGCTTTGTAAACAGAAGTGGAAATTCTTACTTAAGTATTATAAATAATTATTTAGATCGATCATCCTAATGTTGTGAAATTATATGAAATTTATGAAGATGACACATATTTTTATATGGTCTTAGAATTAATGACTGGCGGAGAAGTATTCAATAATCAATCATTATATTAAGCTATTTGAAAGAATAGTCGAGAAAGATCATTTTAGTGAAAAGGAAGCAGCAGCTACACTTAGACCAATTATTGATGCACTTGCATATTGTCATAAGATGGGAATTGTACATCGAGATCTCAAACCAGAAAATCTACTTTACTCAACTATGGAACCAGGAGCCTTATTAAAAGTAAGTGATTTTGGACTTGCTCGTTTTGTTGGTTCTGAAGAAGTAATGATGACGCAATGTGGTACTCCAGGTTATGTGGCTCCTGAAATTATTAATGGCAAAGGATATACTGAAGCCATTGATTTTTGGTCTGTTGGTGTTATTCTCTATATAATGTATAAATAATATTTATTTAAGGTTATGTGGATTCCCTCCTTTTTATGATGAAGATAATGATAAACTCTTTTAAATGATTAAAACTGGTAACTTTGTTTTTCCTTCTCCATATTGGGATTAAATTAGCAATGAAGGTTAAATCTCAATATCCTATTTCTAGCAAAGGATTTGATAAAAGGTTTATTAACTATTGATCCAGCAAAAAGACTCACAACTGAGAAAATTCTCAAACATCCTTGGCTTGTCAATAACACACATAAATCTATTGTCAATCTATAAGCAAAATTAAAAGATTATAGAGCATCCAAAAAAATAAAAGTAAATCTTCCTTTCAACATAATAGAGAATTGCCAATGTTCTTACAATTGCTAGAGGATGGGGTAAAATGGCCTAAGTTAAGAAAAATTGATATCATTACAATAAATAATATTATATATTTATATCATTAGATCATAAACGCCCATATTTAGATATTTAAAACAATATGGTAAAACTTAAATTCACTTTACTTAAAATAGCAAAAATTATCTTTCTTCTTTGTTTTTCAAGCTCATTAAATAAAATAATAAAGTAACGTAGAAGTATCTCCATTAACAAAGATAATGACTTTTTAGTAGTTTTAATAGCAATTTATATTTAAATTAAAAATAGTGGAAAGTACTTAATGAATGTAGCACTTATTTACTTATAGTGCTCCTTAAATTTAATAATATTCATAATTGTGAGCTTTAAAATTTTAATTATCAAAATTGTATAATTCTTAATTAATTAAATAATACACTATTAATATTAGGTAATAAAATAAGTATCAAATGGATTACGAATAATTTTTTTTCTTATTCTAAATTATTATCTTTTTAATACTTAACTCAATTAATCAAAGCATATTTAATCATTTTCATATTCATCTAAATTTTAATCTAATGATGAAGCCAAGAATGTGCCATTTAAACTACTAACCAGTCACAACTTTGAAATCTAGATCATTTGATTTTGATTTATTTGAGTTAGAGAAGATCAATTTTTCAGTTAAAATGGAGCACATGGCTGAACAACTAAACAAATAATTAGAAATCACTACACCAACTTTTAAAACTAATATTAACTAAAATTAAGGTGCTGTGAAAGAAATTGGCAATTATATTCAACATATTAAATCCATTTCCCCTAAAAAACTTATTAAATCAAAAAGAAATTCACATGTTCTAAGGAAAGCGCCGTTAAGGAATCCAGAAATTTGATAAATATATGTGTATTAAATGTTGTCTTTTCTATTTAAAATAGTTTATAGAAGATTTGTTTATTATTTAGACTCAAAAAATATGGATGACTTTTATAGATATATATATATATAATTTATTATTGGTAAAATAGGTTGTGCTTTAGGTCTTAAAGTTGTTTTCGATCAAAACATTGATATTTTTATTAGGCAACAAAAATTCAAATTTTCAATTTTACATCTCCTTAAGTCCCAAATAGGATTATAATTTAAAGTGAAATTTTATATATCTTTTATTTAATTCTTTAAGTCTTACCATTCTCTCTAGCAAACCCAATCAATAATTATAATTAAAATTCCATATCCAATTTATTTATAGTTTAATACTTGATTATTAAAAATTCATAATTATAGTTCATTATTAATAACAAAAATTATAGAACGTCACTCATTTATCATTTGATTATTGAAAGTATTTTAGAATCGGGAAAACTGATTAAAATGCTTGGATATCAATATCAAATGGAATCTAAATCAGTTTCATATCAAAATATAGAACAAACCACTATACTTATTAATTAATTTTTATTTTAGCATTAAAATTTATAAATTAAAAATGGATAATTATTAATATTATGATGGAATGATTATTAACAAAAATAATTCATAAATTAGTTTTCATTTTTGACAAATATTTTGTATTTTGTTAAAAAGATAAAAATTTCTATTAGTTTTAGTAAAGAACAGTAAACCATGTAAATTTATAGAATTCCCTACTATTTTTTATTTTATTCTAAATTATATAATGGAAGAAAAGGTTCAAAAATAATATATTGATTGTGTTAAAAAGCTGCAGAGATTTATCTAAAGTAACGTGAATGACTAAATTAGACTATCCTGATAGAGTACCAGGGAAGGTGCAATAAAAATTGCAAGTTCTCCAATCGTCAATTGATAATCATAAGTAAGGGAAAGCGAAGTTATTGTTAGAAGAAGAGATATAATAATTAATAAATCCACCTATTCCTGTGAAAATTCGCATGTATATTGATATTGTGAACTCGTTTATATATTATGAAGATGAAGTATAGGGACGTCTTGAAATGAAAAAAAAGTCTGGATGGTTTTGGAATAATAAAATTTAAAAATTAAATATGATGGATCGTAAACTTCTGATATCTAGGAATGATCCAAAGAAGAAATAGAAATAATTAAAACTGTTAGATTTTTCTTTAAAATGGTGTACTTTATTTTTATATTTATTAAGGTGTGAATCAATGAAAAATAAGTTTTGTTTCTAAATTTGTAGAAAAGAAACATTCTTATTTGGAAGTGAAGATTTATAATAAGCAGAGAGATGGTTTGATTATTTAAGGTAATGTTGTGCTTTTATAGATGATGATTAATTAAAAAAAATAAAGTATGATTATAATATTATTAAATGAAGATAATAAAAATAATTTTTACGATAATCTAAAGATTTAAATCAATCACTTAATATTTATCCTTAAAAGCATTCAGAAATAATCTAATCTATGCCTTAGAACATAATTGATGAAACAGCAAAAACTCATTACAAAACCTAATCTTAAGTGTAAACAAAATATATGGATAATACACAAAAATAAAATGATTAATAATAATAATTAATAAAAAAGGATTAAAAAGTTTCTGTTATATCTATATAAAATGATAAAGAAAATAAATAAAATGTGATTTAACTTGAAAAAAAGGTTCCAACTCTTCTATAGAATATAATAAATTAAAAAGAGTTATTCTATATGGATAGATTAATGGATGATTCAGAATATTAATTGATAAGCTTTAAAAATAAATTGAGGTATTGATTCATCTAATAATACTAGAATATTGCAACATAAAACATAAAAAGAAAAAATAAAAGCTATTTTGAATNTTATTGAAAGTATTTTAGAATCGGGAAAACTGATTAAAATGCTTGGATATCAATATCAAATGGAATCTAAATCAGTTTCATATCAAAATATAGAACAAACCACTATACTTATTAATTAATTTTTATTTTAGCATTAAAATTTATAAATTAAAAATGGATAATTATTAATATTATGATGGAATGATTATTAACAAAAATAATTCATAAATTAGTTTTCATTTTTGACAAATATTTTGTATTTTGTTAAAAAGATAAAAATTTCTATTAGTTTTAGTAAAGAACAGTAAACCATGTAAATTTATAGAATTCCCTACTATTTTTTATTTTATTCTAAATTATATAATGGAAGAAAAGGTTCAAAAATAATATATTGATTGTGTTAAAAAGCTGCAGAGATTTATCTAAAGTAACGTGAATGACTAAATTAGACTATCCTGATAGAGTACCAGGGAAGGTGCAATAAAAATTGCAAGTTCTCCAATCGTCAATTGATAATCATAAGTAAGGGAAAGCGAAGTTATTGTTAGAAGAAGAGATATAATAATTAATAAATCCACCTATTCCTGTGAAAATTCGCATGTATATTGATATTGTGAACTCGTTTATATATTATGAAGATGAAGTATAGGGACGTCTTGAAATGAAAAAAAAGTCTGGATGGTTTTGGAATAATAAAATTTAAAAATTAAATATGATGGATCGTAAACTTCTGATATCTAGGAATGATCCAAAGAAGAAATAGAAATAATTAAAACTGTTAGATTTTTCTTTAAAATGGTGTACTTTATTTTTATATTTATTAAGGTGTGAATCAATGAAAAATAAGTTTTGTTTCTAAATTTGTAGAAAAGAAACATTCTTATTTGGAAGTGAAGATTTATAATAAGCAGAGAGATGGTTTGATTATTTAAGGTAATGTTGTGCTTTTATAGATGATGATTAATTAAAAAAAATAAAGTATGATTATAATATTATTAAATGAAGATAATAAAAATAATTTTTACGATAATCTAAAGATTTAAATCAATCACTTAATATTTATCCTTAAAAGCATTCAGAAATAATCTAATCTATGCCTTAGAACATAATTGATGAAACAGCAAAAACTCATTACAAAACCTAATCTTAAGTGTAAACAAAATATATGGATAATACACAAAAATAAAATGATTAATAATAATAATTAATAAAAAAGGATTAAAAAGTTTCTGTTATATCTATATAAAATGATAAAGAAAATAAATAAAATGTGATTTAACTTGAAAAAAAGGTTCCAACTCTTCTATAGAATATAATAAATTAAAAAGAGTTATTCTATATGGATAGATTAATGGATGATTCAGAATATTAATTGATAAGCTTTAAAAATAAATTGAGGTATTGATTCATCTAATAATACTAGAATATTGCAACATAAAACATAAAAAGAAAAAATAAAAGCTATTTTGAATATAAGTAGTGATAACATCATTCCGATAGTATCAGCATTGGTTTGTCCAGATGTAATGAAGAATTGGAATACATAGATTGATTAGACAAATGTTTTAGATATAATGTTAAAAATAATTCTATGATAATTTCTGAATTATGTAAAAAATACGGTCTACTTTATTTAAAAGTTCTTATACATATTTAAGGTATGTTTTCAAAGATAAAGATAACTTTTTTATTATTGATAAGAGTTTATCTTATCAAAATAATTAATAGAATGGCTATCTATTAGAGGGATATATTTAATTGAGTATTATAGCTGTTATTCCATAATAAGATTAATTTATGATAATTTGGGAAACAGAAACTAAAAATGGAGAATATGCAAATGATGCTTAATTGTCATTACATTATGTCTAAGAATTATAGAATTTAGAATATTGTTTAATTTAAAAGTATTTTAAGATTCCAACTCCATAGATAGTTGAAGATGCTACAAAAGAACTTCTTAATATTGAGATAATTGAATAATATTAACCTTAAAGAGTAAATGAAGTCTAGATGAATTCATCTTTATCTGATGTGGATTGCAACTAATTTTAGTCTTAAATAGTATTAGAAGAGGAACCAGAGTTGATTAATAAAAATGATTATTTGTAATTATTAGAATTAGTAACTAAGAATACTGGAATAATATTTTGGTCAGCAATTCATTATTATCAATTGCCACTATTAGAACCAGATAATATTTATTTTAAAGAGACTGCAGAAAATAAAAATATCATATTATAAAGTGATTGGGAGATCTTAGAAAATGGTGGTTTGAGATTTATAAATAAAAAGAAACTTGAAATTTAAAAAGAAGTTATAACATTTATGTTAAGGAAATTAGGATCTAATTTACTTATGGGTAAATCTTTAATTAGTATCTCATTGCCAGTTAACATTTTTGAAAAAAGATCTAATCTTGAAAGAGCTTGTTATAGTTTAGGCTATATTTGGTTATTAGAGAAGGCAGGAGAATTATAAGATCCACTTGAATAAATGAAATTGGTGGCATAATTTTCTCTTGCTTATAATANTATGCCTTAGAACATAATTGATGAAACAGCAAAAACTCATTACAAAACCTAATCTTAAGTGTAAACAAAATATATGGATAATACACAAAAATAAAATGATTAATAATAATAATTAATAAAAAAGGATTAAAAAGTTTCTGTTATATCTATATAAAATGATAAAGAAAATAAATAAAATGTGATTTAACTTGAAAAAAAGGTTCCAACTCTTCTATAGAATATAATAAATTAAAAAGAGTTATTCTATATGGATAGATTAATGGATGATTCAGAATATTAATTGATAAGCTTTAAAAATAAATTGAGGTATTGATTCATCTAATAATACTAGAATATTGCAACATAAAACATAAAAAGAAAAAATAAAAGCTATTTTGAATATAAGTAGTGATAACATCATTCCGATAGTATCAGCATTGGTTTGTCCAGATGTAATGAAGAATTGGAATACATAGATTGATTAGACAAATGTTTTAGATATAATGTTAAAAATAATTCTATGATAATTTCTGAATTATGTAAAAAATACGGTCTACTTTATTTAAAAGTTCTTATACATATTTAAGGTATGTTTTCAAAGATAAAGATAACTTTTTTATTATTGATAAGAGTTTATCTTATCAAAATAATTAATAGAATGGCTATCTATTAGAGGGATATATTTAATTGAGTATTATAGCTGTTATTCCATAATAAGATTAATTTATGATAATTTGGGAAACAGAAACTAAAAATGGAGAATATGCAAATGATGCTTAATTGTCATTACATTATGTCTAAGAATTATAGAATTTAGAATATTGTTTAATTTAAAAGTATTTTAAGATTCCAACTCCATAGATAGTTGAAGATGCTACAAAAGAACTTCTTAATATTGAGATAATTGAATAATATTAACCTTAAAGAGTAAATGAAGTCTAGATGAATTCATCTTTATCTGATGTGGATTGCAACTAATTTTAGTCTTAAATAGTATTAGAAGAGGAACCAGAGTTGATTAATAAAAATGATTATTTGTAATTATTAGAATTAGTAACTAAGAATACTGGAATAATATTTTGGTCAGCAATTCATTATTATCAATTGCCACTATTAGAACCAGATAATATTTATTTTAAAGAGACTGCAGAAAATAAAAATATCATATTATAAAGTGATTGGGAGATCTTAGAAAATGGTGGTTTGAGATTTATAAATAAAAAGAAACTTGAAATTTAAAAAGAAGTTATAACATTTATGTTAAGGAAATTAGGATCTAATTTACTTATGGGTAAATCTTTAATTAGTATCTCATTGCCAGTTAACATTTTTGAAAAAAGATCTAATCTTGAAAGAGCTTGTTATAGTTTAGGCTATATTTGGTTATTAGAGAAGGCAGGAGAATTATAAGATCCACTTGAATAAATGAAATTGGTGGCATAATTTTCTCTTGCTTATAATATAATGTTTTTAAATATGGAGAAACCATACAATCCTATATTAGGAGTAATCTTTTAAGGAACCATGAATGGAAATCTATTGTATTGTGAATAGATTTCTCATCATCCACCAGTATTAGGTTTGTATATTCTTGGAAGAAACTTTAAATTAACTGGTCATTTGGAATCTTAAGCAATTTTTAGTGCAAATTCAATTACAGGATAAAATTATGTTTATTTGTAAGTTACATTTACAAATAAAACTACAATTATATTCAATGTAATGCCAAGAGTTATTTAAGGGATGACCATAGGACATAGATAATTTTATTATAATGGTTTTGGATGGTTGGTTGATTTGGAGAATAAGCTTTTCTGTGATATTGTAGTTACTGCTTTTCCAGGAATGTTTAGTAAAAAAGTTACACCTTAAGATTATATGGAAGGATACTTTATAAAGGGATAAGTTAAAGAAGTAATCTATTTTTGATAGAAATATTTAATTGTTTTTATTTAAATAATTTTATAAATATTAAAATGTATAAATTTTATAAATTTATATTATTCATTAAGTAAAATAATATCTTCGTTCCATCCAAAAATCAGCTCTTTTTTTATAAGGCATCATTTACATTTATAAATGGTACTTAGATTATTAAGAGAAATTACATTTTTTGCTTTACGATATTAATCTCTAACTTTATCATTGAGCATATCTAAATAAAGATCATATTGATTCTTTTTGTTAGACCAAGGAATAGCTTAATGATATAAGAGTTATTATACACAATCATTGTAACCTGAACGAATTCCAAAGAAGAGTGGAGTTCTTCCAAGCTAGATAATAGAATAATAAGTACAATATCACGACGATTTACATCAGCATGGTATTCCATAAGCAATTCTATCATTTCTACATGATTACGAATAACAGCATGATGAAGAGGAGTTAATTTTGATGAATCAAATTCATAAACTAAATATCTATTCTCTTATAATTCTCTATGAGTTAATTCAAGCTTATTAGATTTTACTAAATCAAAAAATAATTTAGCTCTTTCATTAGCATATGCTCCTAATGGATAGATTCTATGTTTAATAAGATCTTCAAGATTAAGATGTAATTCATGTAATCTAAACAAAAACATCTTTATCATTTTCAATATTTTATGTCTTCTTAATTTTTTAAATTATTCTGAATTTAAATCTTAATTCTTTGGAAATATTTCTAATAAAGATTAATTTAAATGTAATTAGTTATGTTGATATTTTGGATTAATAGCTTTAGATTTAAAATCAACATAACATTTTCGATGATACTCTTATCTAGTGAGTTCATCAAATCTTTCAATCTCTTATCTCTATTTTATTAGTTCTTAAGCAGTATATTTTTCTGCTTCTTCAAGTTACTATTACTCTGAATTTAACAAATAAAATACTTAGAATAATTTCCTCATCTTTTAACATATTAAATAAAGCAATATTTATAGGATGATTCTATGCTCTGTCTAAATCAGTATATTAGATATCCTCTATATGCAATTCCTTAAAAATTAGATTTGGATCTCGTTTCTGAGATTTCAACACTTTTAAACTATCATCTTAATAATATTTAGAAAAGCGAACTCTATTCGCATTAGTCAATTCATAACGAGGATTCGAAAGTTTTCTAGGAGGTGAACGTAATGATTCATGTTATCTTGTTATACTCTTCATTCTAAGCATGTGTTCACTTAATCCTTTTACTATACGTAATGGTTGCTTAAAAATGAACTACCTCTCTTTATTTTCTTAAGCTTCATTTTATACTTTTTAAAGTGGTACTGCTGTTTTAGTCTTATCTAATATCATCATTTATTCACCATTGAATTTCTTAAGAAAATTGTTATAATTAGCAGCAGTTGCCATTTGTTTTATACGACTTGTTTAAACACGCTCTGTCACTGGTTGTTGTTATGCAAGTAATGATTTCTATTTTTCAAGCCATTTTACTCGTTTATGTTAAGGCATAGCAAGTAAGTCCACTGTCTTTTCTATACTTCGACTTGTATTCCAAGTATGTGGTACTTCAGATAAAGCTGTATGATTCTTTCGTAAAAGAGGTTATTAAATTAGCTATTGAACTTGTACTAAACTCATTTATTTGCTTTTCCTGTTAGTCATTTAAGTCTTAGGAGTTGCAGTTTGCGGTTAAGAATTCTTCAATCTCTCAAAAGATTCATGTGTCTTTGCTTAACGAGTAGTCTTTTCATTACTCTCAATTAAACTTGATAGTAGGCACCTATGTGTGGGTGCTTTCATTTTATAAAATAATTAACTCACTATTTTTTCATTGAAATCAATAATATATTTTCATTACCAACTAAATGTTCAAAAATTTTAATAACACTCAAAAAACAGTCTAAAATTCATAGGAATAATACTAATTTCAATAAATTTGATTTTTACAATTTTTATATGAATCTATTAATTGTATTTTTTATAGTCAACATCTTAATTTTAGTGACATCTGAATTTTACTTTAATTTTTTTAAAAACTCAATAATCTTTTTGTTGACATTTTAAATCTTATAGAAATTCTATTAGATAATTCAAATACTCTACATAATATTATTCAATACCAATATATTAAGAAAACATATGATTATCTCTAATATTTTAATTATCTTCAATCCTATATCAGAATAAATTAAATTAATAATTCTTAGATAATTAACAAACTATAAATACCCTAATTAATTTAAGTTTACTTCCTATCTTTTTGTTGACTCAAAATATTGTTTTAACCTTTTTTTTTCATATTCAAGTATTTAAGATTTGCAAACTCTAAATTTTTTTTACTAATATCATAAATTAATTAAATGTCTAAAAAATAATCACTTATTTTAATTCTACTCTATTATAACCTCTTTTAATAATTGATAATCTTTTATTCTATAACCTACCTTTCATTTTCTATTAAATTAAATACATATCAATGTTGGATTCTCATTATATAACTAATTATTATTATTTAATATTTTGACTGTATCTTTATAGAAATTAAAATTAGTTTATAATAACAATATTCTAATAAACAAAATATAATTATTATAAATAAGAAATGTCATTTTACATAATATATAATAAAAATAAAATATAGAATAAATGATTAATTAATAATCAAAGTGAATCCTTTCAAAATTCCTAAACTATAAATATAGGCGAAAATGCAGTTATACCAGCACAAGGATAAACATCTTAAGATGTATCAAATTACATCGACTAAATAATTAATGCTAAATGATATACATATTAATTATTAGATTTTTTACTTTCCCATTTAATATATCCAATATCCATATCTACATATACAATTATTAGATCATCAAGTTCAAAAAAGAAAGAATTAGTTTGATCATTCAAATCAGGATTTAGATGTGAATTAGTTACTCCATAATTATTAATTAAATAAACCCTAAAGTTTATGTTAATTAATTACCCATTTTTATTATCAGATTAAATACTAAAATTTGTTTTGTAGTTGTTTTGAATTAAATATTCTTTATGACAGATTCCAATCCAAATTAAATAAGCATTATCATTAATACCAAATGCAAATCTATATTATCCTTTTTTAGGAAGCATAGGTTCACATATTACCATACCTCGATCATCTTCATTTTAAGCAATTAATCCATTATTCAAAATTTTAATATATTTGTATTTAAATTTTTATGAAAAATGAATTTAAAGATTTTACCATTATATTATTTCTGTAATATTTTGTTTTTCACTCAATAATTTAGATTTTTAATCTTATTTTCTAACTATTTTTTATTTCTTTAATATATTTTTCTTTTCTTTAATTTCTTATTTTTTTATATCTAAGTTATAATTAAATTATTGTAATTTATTAAATTCTTATATTATTTAATTGCAAGACTTATTTATGTTTTGAAACATTGGTAAAACAGCATTTAAAATACTTTATATTGTTACAATTTATTTAATCTGATCAATCAGAACTTCTTTATTTTAATAATCAATTTTTAAGTTGTTATTGTAATTTATTAACATTAAAGGTGTTTAAATTTCTAAACAAAATCGTTTTTGATTTTCAAAAAAATTAAGTAATTAACAATTATATTCAATATTCTTAAGTTTGATATCATCTAAAGAATCTAATTAATGTAAATCCTATAAATGTTCATCATGATAACATCTACATATATCACAAAATGTTTTTAAATTACTATTACAATTCATTTTTGAACAATATCCAAAAAGCAGATTTCCTATATGTTTTTCATTTTAACAAGATTCCATATATAAATATATATTTAATTTTATTTTAATTTTTTAATTAATATAACAATAATTTGAATTTTAAAGATCACTAAAATATTATTTTTAAGAATACTTAAATATATTTTTGATTTTATTTTCCATGAAATTAGTATATATTAGGTGTATTGATGCGAATTTAGTATGCAAATAAAAATACTTATTAATGATCAAAATTTGTAAACTCATCTTAAATTGTTTTATAATAATAATATAAAATGTTTACTAAATTATTTAGATTTTCATTTTCTGCCACAACTAAAAATCCAAAGGTATTCTTTGATATTACAATTAATAATACCCCAAGTGGTAGAATAATCTTTGAAGTAAATTAATTATTTAAATATTTAGTTATTTGCAGATGTCACACCTAAAACTGCAGAAAATTTTAGAAAATTATGCATTGGTGATACAGTGTCTAAAATATCTGGAAAAACTCTTCATTATAAAGGTTCAGCCTTCCATAGAATTATTCCATCTTTTATGTGTTAAGGTGGAGATTTTACAAATCATAATGGCACTGGTGGAGAATCAATTTATGGAAGAACATTTCCAGATGAAAATTTCACATTAAAACATAGTACACCAGGATTATTATCTATGGCTAATGCTGGACCAAATACAAATGGATCTTAATTTTTTATCACCACTGTTCCATGTCCTTGGTTGAATGGAAATCATACTGTATTTGGAAAGGTGGCATCTGGATTGGAAGTATTAAATGCAATTGAATATTGTGGAACTTAATAAGGAAGACCATAAAAGAACGTTGTTATCTATGATTGTGGTGAATTGAAATGAGTGATCTAATTAAGCCAAAAAATATAAATATTTCCTTATAATTTTATTCTTAAATAATTTCAAATACTATCTACTAGTTTTTATCCTAGATACTTTAAATATATTTTAATAAATAAACATAAAATAAATAATAGTTTTATTACTTCTTGTATATTTTAGATAAATATTGTGATGTCTATTTCAACATAAGCATATTGAAGTTCTATTAAGACCTAGTCAATTAAATAGCAAGGTTAGTATATTGAAAAAGACTTGAGATTGGAAAAATTAAATATTCAAAAGAAGATAAATGACATCTGGACTATAATTATCTTGAATAAAAATTAAATGTTAAGACAAATATGATAATTTTGAATTCACCATAAAATCCTATTGGAAATTAATTAATAAATATAATATTTTTTAGAGTATATTCATTGAAGAATTAGAGAGATTGGCAGAAACATTAAAAAAATATCCTTAAGTTATAGTATATGAAGATGATGCTGTATATCATCATGATGTTTTTGGTGATTATTTGTATTTTCATATCCCAGATGTATAACTCATTGAAAATAAAAATCAAAGAATGTATGTGTAAAAAGTGTAGGTAAAATGTTTTCAGCTACAAGAGTTAAGAGTTGGATTTGCAATAGAAAATGAAAAATATATAAAAAGATCAAATTTGCTTAAACTTATCTTAATATTTCTTTGAATCCTATCTTTTTTACTGCCACAGCTAATAAACTATTGATGTGAAGTAATAAATAGAAATAATAGATTTATTTGAAGAATAATCAACTATGTTATTGTAGGGTTTAGTTGAAAGTAAATTAAATTTACATTTTTGGGTTCCTTAATAAGGATACTTTTTAGTTACAGATATTTATGATATAGAAATACCAAAGAAATATTTTAAAGATGATGAAGATGGTCATTAACTAACTAGAGATTTTGCATTTACATATATTTAATTATTTATTATTATTATTATTTTAAAATTCTATTGAGTTTTATAAAGATCTTAGAAAATATTGAAATTTAGTTTTTTATATAATATAATTTAAGAAAAGTGTATTATATGGCAAATGAAGTTAGAATAGGTTGCATTTTTTGTTCTCGATATTTTGAAAATAAGGAAGTTGGGTTCAAGATTTTTAAGATGGGGATTTAGTAAAACAAATAGAAACTATTATAAAATATATGTAATCGTTTAAAATGAGAAAAATGTCATAATTAAATATAGATTCAACAACAATCATCATTCTTTTTCTTCTTTTTTTATCCTAAACTTGTTTACTATTCTTTATCATCTTCTTCATCATTTCTGTAAAATGTGCCTAATTTAATACCTAAATTTTCATTGTTCTAATCTACTAATTTATTTTCTATTTTTTCATAGATTCGCATTGCCATTTATTGAAATACAGAGTCAACATACTATCCTGTTTTAGCTGATGTTTCAATATAATGTATTTTATATTATTCTGCAAAAAGTTTCCCTTCGTCTACAGAAACTTAGCGTCTATTTATATTATTTATTTACTCTCTCTCTAGATCTATTTTATTACCAACAATAACTATATCTACATATTCATGAGCACAATCTAATATTTCATTATACCATCTAACAATATTATGGAATGACTATCGATTTGTAATATCAAAAACAAGTAATACACCTATTGAACTACAATTAACTATATATATATATATAAACCCTTTATAATATGAACGTGTAATAGATCTAAATGATTCTTAACCAGCCTAACTTAAAAATAATTATAGTACTGTATCCCAAATTTATATTTTAAATTGTTTGTTTTTATATTTGAATACTTAAGATCCAAATTCTACACCAATTGTAGCATCATGTTCTTCTTTAAATTTACCTTCTGTATATTTAAGGAGAAGGCAACTCTTACCTACACCTTATTTTTTTTTTAAATAATCAGAATTACTTGTATCTCCAACAATTATGAATTTAAAGAGATAGTGATATAAGTCCATTTATATTAATAATATGAAATAATAATTAGCATAGGAACCACACTTTAATGGAGAATTTGAAGATAGTGAAAGTGAGACTGAAGACAATTCAAAGAAGAAGACAACTTTGATAATGAATGTATCAGGTTAGATGTACTTACTATAATTTTAGATACTCAATATGATGTTGTGAAGTTTGTAGGTAAAAAGTTATTTAAATGGATTTTACAATATGAGTCTGATGTAACTAATTGGGATATGTTTTGGACAGATGCAGCTGTTTAACCTGAGACTCTAGGAAAAATGCAACGTATTTTTATAAATAAATCATAGCATACTAAAAAATTAATCATTTTCCTGGAATGTATTCTCTTGCTCGTAAGAATCATTTAGGAAGGAATCTAATGAAGATGCGTAAATAATTCACTGAAGAATATAAGTTCTTTCCATAAACATGGTTATTGCCAGCTGAATATGGAGACTTCAAAAACTAATTTGTAAAAGGAAAAGCTAAAACTTTTATTATTAAACCTGAAGCAAGTTGTTAAGGAAGAGGTATATTTCTAACTAGAAATATAAATGATATTAATCCAAATGATCATTATGTAGCATAGAGATATTTACACAGACCATTATTAATTGAAGGATTAAAATTTGATTTGAGAGTATATGTTTTATTGGCTGGAACTGATCCTATGAGAATATATGTATACTAAGATGGTTTAGTCAGATTTGCTACGGAACCATACATACCTCCTAATTCATCAAATTTAGAAGATATGTGTATGCATTTAACAAATTATGCTATTAATAAAGAAAATCCAAATTTTGTATTTAATAAAGATGCTAGTAGAATGGATATTGGACATAAGAGATCCATAAAAGCAGTATTTAGTAAATTAGAATAAGAAGGTCATGATATAAAAAAACTTTGGTAAGATATGTATGAATTATTTATTAAAACCTTTTGTACTGTTTAACCAATATTAAGTCATCATTATAGATCATGTCAACCTGATAATTATGCTAATAATATGTGTTTTGAAATCTTAGGCTTTGATATCTTTTTAAATCACAAATTATAACCTATCTTATTGGAAGTTAATCATACTCCTAGTTTCACTACAGATACTCCTCTTGATTCAATGATAAAGAAAAATCTTATTAGAGATACATTGAAATTAATGAATGTAAGTTTAAAAGCCAAAGAATAAATAATTGCATCAAGAAAAGAATCTCTATAGTAAAGAGTATTAACAGGTAAAAAAATAAAATTGACAATGGAAGAAAAGATTTCATAAATGAAATAATGGGAAAAATAGAGGAATGATTATGAGAATGCACATTTAGGAGATTATGTTAAGATATATCCACTTGAAGATTATTAAAAATATGATAAATATATAGAATTTGCTTCATCATTATAAGATAGTTGGACTGGAACAAGTATTATTTTATATTAATAAATTCTAGATATAAAAAGAAATTAAAAGAAAGATGTAAAAGATTCTTAAAATGCATAATAATAATAATAATAATAATAATAGATATAAAATAAGAATAATATAATTAGAGCTCCATTTAAACCAAATACTCCTGCTCATAATCTTCCTAAACTATAAAATATACCTAGACCTGAAAGTATCAATGTACATGGAGAAGATGAATAAGTTAGTGCAAAAGTGAGCAAATTATCAAGTGTCAAAATTTAATCTAGATAATAATCTGAACCTCCATTTTTAAGAGTCAAATAAGCAGTAAAAAAATAAACTTAATAAATGATTCCTAAACCTTGTTTACAACCAAAATTATTTGATATGGAATCAATAGGATAGGATAAATTTAATAATATTAAAAGATAATAATATTAAGACTAGATGCTTGCAAAATGATAATATATATATATATATTATAATATTTTGATTATTTTCTACATCATGAAGGTAACATAACCAAAGGAATACCTTATTTCCAACTTTGCAAATATTTATACACAAAATCTGTTGTTATGATCTATATATTTTTATTATATTAATTACAATTGATATCATTTAAGCCACCATCACAAAATAACCACTTAACCAAGGTGCCACACTTATTGTTGATTCATCTGCACTTCTATTAAGTTCTTCATAAGAATAAAACCAAAAAATCACACATATTACTTTATTTATTGCTTGAGTGATTACAAAATTTGATGTGTGATATTCAATTATTCCCTCTATATTATTGTTGAATTCTAACCTCTCTTTGTAAAAAGGTGTATCTATGGCAATATTGCAAATGATTCCATATATAATGCAAATACCCAGGATATGTCACAAAATGAATGTGAATTCAATCCTGGATGAACATAATAAGCAGTCACCAACATTACAGGAGTGAAGTAATACCATTTGAATAATTCTTCTTTATTATTTTTTATGCTAAATGCAGTCAATATGCAAAAGATAAGTGATAATATTTCGAATAATCTATACACATAATCACCTGTTGCATCTGAAGGTAAATAACCCTAATTTATCTATAATCAATATACTTCAAAAGTTAAAATAGAAAATAATCTTGCTAATAATGCTTATGCACAACAGATAAAAGTTTATTTACTTAATCCACTTGTATCTTTGGTTATTGAAATTGTAGTAAATACTAATCCAAATCCAAAGCATTGTATTCCACAAGCAAGTGTTAATATAAAACTAAATTCTCCTGAACTGAAAAATAGATATATCAAAACAGTTGAAACAAGAAAACTAATCCAAAGCGTGTAATTTAGTTATTGTTTCATTAATAAAATTAATGGAAGAAAATCAAAATTTAGAAGAGAATACCTATTCATAAGAAGAAGTAGATCGTATAACATAAGAATCCATTGAAAGTGTCTTAAAAGAAGTTTAATATGATGAATCTAAAGTAAATACTTACAATAAATCTAGGTTCAAGGTTGGATCAATGCTATTTGTGAAAAAGTTACATAATAATTAATTGAATTAGGAAAACCATATAAGTAAGACTCTCTTTAGAAATTTAAGATATATTGTTCATTGCATGATTATGTAAAGAAATGGAGCAGGAGCATTTGTTACAACTTCACAATGGTGGGATACTGTTGCTGATGGATAAATCATCATATCTTGGCCAAAAGATAAATAAGCAAAACAAGAACAATAAAAAAATACTCTCCATTGTATTTGTAGTGTGTTTGCAGTAAGCATGATTTGAATTATTATTATTATAATTTATTAAGTTATATCTATGAGTCTTAAATATTTTAAAAATACTATAACTTTAATCACATCTTATTTTATAAAACAAGACATTGATATTTAAATTATTATACAAAATACAATAAAATAATTAGCATCATATTAGAGTTTCAAAAGATAAGTAAATTTGAACAATTTAAATAAAACAATATTTTATCAATCCTAAATAAGAAAACAATGAATTAGATATCTAAAATTCAAATTTGTTGATTGATTTAAATAAGAATAATGAATTAGCTTAATTTTTTATTTTATAATATCATATCTATCTTTTAAGTATCACTTTAAAAATAATATATGATGAATGATTAAATTAAACTAAAAAAATTATACAACCTTTTATGAATTATAAAAAATAAAATAATAAAGTACTGATAATTTTTAAGATTCATATTAAATTTAGAAAGAATATATTTATATTAATATAAATTATACATATAAATGCGACTAATCATTTTGCCATATTTCCCCTAATAAATGATTCAAGATCTGCATCCTTTTCGACTGTAGTAACATATTATGAATGGATCTTTTCAGGTGCATAATATTATCTTATCAACTCTTACTTTCTTTATTCTAATTAATCTTATTCATATTCTTCAGAATCAGAGTGTTATTCTATAAATATTAAAAAGTATTTACATTTTTCTTCTTCCATTCTTTTCAATACATCATCCCTTTTATCAATTTCATATTTGATAAAATTTAAAATTTCTTCTTTTGTATTGAAATCTTTTACTAGTTCTTAATTATCTTAAATAAATCTTTGTAATTCCTTTTCTTATGCTATCCTCTCCAATTCCTTTTCCTCTTCTAGAATCTCTTACAATTCTTAATTCTGACTTCCATAATAATTATATGAGATATTCTACATAATTCAATAAGAAATACCTTATACAATTCAGTTCTTGATTTTTTAGGTTCAGAAGGTGGTTCTGAGAAAAACAATTCACGAACTCCAGGTAAATCTTTTGCAGCTCCAAAATATCTATATCCTTCTTTTCCTGTTAATTCAATTCCTTGAGTATCATAAATCTTAGCGCTTAATCTTCTATAATCAGGTCCTCCTAATTCTTTTATTCTATCCTCCCAACATCGTAATTCTTATATGACTTTATTAATTTCATCATTTAATTCCCTTATTCTATGCTCTCCTAAACCAGCATTTTAAATATCAGAGACCAATTTTGAAACTACCTTTAATACTTCCTATCTCTCTAATTCACATTCTTATAGATTGACACATTCTTAAACTTTTGGAATAGACTTATACTTTCCATCTGTAGTATTACGTATATCTCTTTTCAATCTGTACCATCTTGAGAGCATTGCCTTTGCTTTTTCTGCATTTCTAGCCATCTTTTAATATAATTTAATATATATATATAATATTGATTTATATAATTATAATTCATGATTAAAGTCCAACCTTTTTTTAATTTTATATCTTAAGATGAACCATTTAAAGTATTTGATTATCTCCAAGTATTAAATCAGCATATTCATTCAGTTATATTTGTTAATTACCTATCAGACCTATTTTAAGATCAAGATAACTTTTAATTTCTCATGTCTTTGAGGATTTATCTATATAAAAACATGACAAACCTTCCTACATTGATAACAGATATCATTTATCCCTTAAGATTCAGAAGTATTTATAAATTAAGCTTAAGATTTACTTATTAAGAAAAAACCTGAAATGAGAATCAAATAACTTTCAAATTTTAAATTTTCAATACTTAAAATTGTGAGGAAAAAATTTAAATGAATCTAAAAACTGATAACTTATAATATAGCTTAACTTTAATGCCTATTATCTAATAAATAATAGCAGATTTTAATGATCAATAAATCAAAATTAGAAACATTAGTTACTTATTAAAAATTAGAAATTTATGATATTTATTTAAAATTGTATTGAAAATGCTGTTCATTAATAAAGATTAAATCTATAATCTATGATTGTGGGTGTATTTTAATTATATGACAAAGCCACTCAGCATCTTGTAGAAAAAGCATTGAAATTATACTATAAGAGATATATAAAAAGGAAATATCTAAGATTTACTCATGATGATAAGTACGATATTCAAAAAGGTAATAATGTCAGAACCTTATCCAAGATGGTTAAATGAATCTTATGGGGCACTGAAATTAAGCATAGATACTAATTTTATTATTTATTTGATTCCAAATATTTCAACAATCAATCAGTAATCTTAAATTAATATAAAAAATTCATAAATTAGTTATTAATGTATATAAATATATATAAATTAGATCTTAAATGAGAAAGGAAAAATAAATAGAAATTTCTATGAGAAATTCAACTGAGAATGTTATTAACATGAAGAGATTTAAAATAAGTTAAATAAATATTTCAATTAATTAATAGAAAAATGAAAGAATGAATTACTTTTTAGTTTATATTTAGATATTATCTAGATATATCTATTAATTTCTTTTAAGAGTAATTTATATTTTAACTTTAAATGTGTTTTGAGTTTAAGTAAATAAAAAATTTAATGATCTTTTAAAAAAAATATATCTTTATTTTTTGATCATCTTTCTATATAAAAATTAGAAACTTATTTCAATAAGAATTCAGATATCTGGATTTGGCCAAGTGTACTATCATCAGATGGTAATTTCTGAAATTTAGTAATTAATTGTGTGTAATATATTATAAATACAATCATTTTTAATTAAGTTTATTTAATAATTAAAATGCCACCTAAATAATAAAAAGTAGCCCTAAGAAGACCATAACCTGTAAGTTTATTAATTATAATTGATAGAAAAAACAACCAAAAATAGCCAACTAGAATTTAAATCAATAGGAAGCTGAGCCAGATGGTGATGAATCAGAATATTAACATGAAGTTTTGAAATAAATAAATATTTATAGAGAGAAAGAGAAAGACCATAATTAACAGAGAAGGAACTGAATGAAGACATGCCTTCTAAAATGTTGATACCTAACAATCCTCAAGCTCCAAAGAATATCACTTAATATGATTATTTATAAAGAAAAGTAACTACCCATCATAATGATAGTATAAAACAGACGAATTAGTTGAATAATTGATTATTCATTTCAGAATGGATGGTGAAATCATTCATAAAGACTCAAATGAATCTAGAATACAAGAGGAATTATGGGAAACAAAATAAGCATTGATTAAAGAGGCAGAAAGAAATCAAGAAATGGAAGATCCTGGAGCATCTAAAGACAAAGAGGCAATTAAATAAACAATGAGAAATAAGTTTAATTATAATGCAAGAGAAGCCTAAACAGATGGAAGAGTCATTAGAGAAAGAGGTGTATCAACTGAACCTCCTCCTAGTGATACATTAAAAGGTTAAATTACATAATGGGAAATTTTTGATGCTTATATATAAAATAAAGCCAAGGAGGAAAGTTAAAAAAAGAAAGATCACACTTCAGATAATACAGTTTATAAACCATCTTTCAAGAGATGTTTAAAAATTATGGAAAGAACAGTAGTTCATAATGATTAGAAAGAGAAATACAATGATTATAAATATTATTGGAGTCAAGGGGAAGTAGTTGAAACATCTAAAAATGAAGGGTAAGATTAATAAAAATAATTAGACATTTATTACCAATTTGGAAATTTTCAAATGAGAAATAAAAGAAGAAACATGTAACATCATTATGTTGGAATCCAAGATATATGGATTTATTTGCTGTTAGTTTTGGTAGCTATGAATTTTCAAAATAAAGAATGGGTCTTATATGTTTATATTCTCTTAAAAATACAACTCATCCAGAATATGCATTTACATGTGAAGCTGGAGTTATGTGTTTAGATTTTCATCCTTAAAGTCCTGCATTATTGGCTGTGGGTTTATATGATGGAACAGTGTTAGTTTATGATATTAGAAATAAACATAAGAAACCTATATATTAATCAACAGTAAGAACTTAGAAACATACAGATCCAGTATGGTAAGTTAGATGGAATCCAGATATCTCTAAGAATTATAATTTTTATTCAATTTCATCAGATGGTAGAGTAATGAATTGGGTTTTGATGAAAAATAAATTAGAACCTGAAGAAGTAATTAGATTAAGATTGGTTGGTAAGAATGAGGAAGAAAGTACTTTGATTGGTTTAGCTTGTGGTTTATGTTTTGATTTCAATAAATTTGAACCTCATATCTTCTTAGTTGGTACTGAAGAAGGAAAAATACATAAATGTTCTAGAGCTTATTCAGGATAATATTAAGAAACATATATTGTATTAATATAATTTTTAATTATTAGGGTCATAATTTGGCAGTTTATAAAGTTAAATGGAATAATTTTCATCCTAGAACTTTTATATCTGCTTCTGCTGATTGGACTGTTAAAATTTGGGATTCTAAAATATCTACACAAATTATGAGTTTTGAATAGGGAATGTAAGTTGTTGATGCTATGTGGGCACCTTATAGTTCTACAGGTATTCATTAATTATATATTAATAGTTTTCGCTTGTGCCACTTAAGATAAAATATTTGTTTATGATTTGAATGTTGATAAAATTGGAAAACTTGCAGAATAAAAACCCTCTAAACAACCTAGATTGACTAATATTGCATTTAATCAAAGAGATCCAATTATCTTAGTAGGTGATACTCATGGAGGAATTACATTACTTAAATTAAGTCCTAATTTAACAAAATGTATAACTGAGCTAATAAATTATAGCTGGAGTTAAAGCATCTAATTTCCCTGATGGCAAAGTACCAAAAGAATTAGAGAATATGCCATTAGAAGAATATGAAAAATAAAAAATGGAAAATCTGTTACAAGTTGTTTCTAAATGGGAAAGGGAAGATTCCTGAAATCATAAATTATAAAATATATTTATTATCATAATAAAAAACATATTTATATCTTAAATATATATATTTATATAAAGAAAAATCACCAGTATTTGTTCTATCCAGAAGCATCTGTAAGCATCATTACTTTATTTAATAATTCGTCATCTTTTATATCAATTGGATGACCTTATAGTCCACGTGCATCTACTCCAGATTAACCTCTTGGTCTATATTTTTCTTATGATTATTAAGTGAGTCTATCTTATCTAGTTTATCTTTCTTATTTATCTTATTTATCATATCTATCTAATCTAGTATCAGTATGAATAGTTTATTATTATGGCCTTTATTCAATTGTTTAATTGCCTAATTATTAATAAGCCTCTTATCTAAATGGAGATTAAGAATGAGCATGTAGACCAAAATTAGATCTATCAAAATCTTATATTGGTGTTTATGAGTGTTATCTCTATATTTATTTCTCTAAGATAGTATTTTTCATAGAGAGTTCAAGAATTTTCTCATTTGCAATTTTAAGTTTTTTATTGAGTTTTTTATTTTTAGAAATTAAAGTTCTATTTTCTTCAGTAATTTGTTAAAGAGATTATTTTTAAGCTTACATTTATTATTGATTTTGTGGATCATTTTCTGATTATAATGGAGTTTATTACTTAATAGGTTTTGTAGTATCATATTGTTCTTAAATTTATTATGCAAATTAAGGTACTTAACTAAGTGTAGGAACTTAAGATTAACTCATAATAGGTTAAGTTTAGATTGGATTTGGAATAGGATTTACTTCAATTAATTAGATTCTATGTTAAAGTTCTCTATTTCTTCTTTTAATTGTTTCATTTTCATTTTCTAAATCATGAATTTATTCTTCTTTATTTTTATTTGATCTTTCTAAATCTCCAATTTCTTTAGTTTATTGAGATAGTGTTTTCTTCAATTTTTCAATTTCTTCATTCAATATTCTAGTTGAATCTTTATTATCTATATTTTCTTTTTGATATCTATCCCTTAATACTTTATAATCATCTTAAAGATCACTAAATCTTTTTTTTAAGTTATCAAGATCTTTTTAAAGTGTAACAGCTTTATTTCTTTCTTATAAATACTTATCATGTTCATCTTAATACAAACGTGTTAATTTATCTTGAACTTTTTATTCTTACTCTAATTATTCTTCTTCCATATCTGTAATTTTTCTTTATAAATAATGAATTGTATCATCTTTTTTTCTCAAATCAGTCAATAATTAATCTTTTTCTGTTTTTAAAATTTCAAAATCAGTTGCAATTTATTCTCTTCTTTATTTTTCTTTTCTAAATTCATCTTCTAAAAATCTAGTTCTCACTTATAATTTATCAAAATCACTTTTAAATTATCTTTTATCATTTCTTTCAGTATCAAGTTATCTGGCAAATTTAATCATAATATCATTCTTTTCTTCTCTAATTTTATCTCTTTCATTTCTTAATTCTTCATTTTCAGTATCAGTAGCATTAAATTTTAATTTATATTCTTCCAAATCTTTTCTTAATCTTCTTATTGTATCTCTATCTTTATTGTCTTCTACTTATCTTGTTAAATCTGATATTTGATGTTAAAGATCTGCCATATCTAATTTATGTTTTTCTGATAATAATTTCATTTCTTTATCTTTATCTACTTATATAGTTTCTACTCTTGATAATTCCAAATCAATCTTTCTTTTTAATTAATATATTGTTTCATTTAACTTTTCAATCTCTAATTACTTTTATTCCAATTATTATCTATGTGGTAAATCTAATTCATTCAATAATTTAATTCTCATCATATCTTAATCAAAAGCAGGTGTCAATCTACTTTAGATCTCTTCTATTTCTCTTTGTTTTTATTCAATTAAAAGTTTCCAATTCTTTGTAGCATTATCAAATTGTTATTCTGTTTATTTTTTATCATGTATAGCTATTTTATACTTCTATAATAAATCCTAATTCTCTAATCTCATTTTATCAAGATTCTATTTCAATTCATCATTTATTGCCTATAAAGTCTCATATTCATCTTAAATTATAATGAATTTAAATTACTAATCTTTCTGCCTATCACAGCCTTAGAAGAAATGATAGCTTTCTTTAATTGAGTGTTCTCTTCAATCAATCCTTCGTATTATTGCATTATTTGTTTAAATTAATTCGTTAAATAGTTTAAATTGAATGTATTTTCAATTGAAAAAGTAAGAATGATCATTTGAGTTAGACTATTTAATTTATGAGAAACTCACTTGGAACCAATCCTTGTGTGATTACTACTCATAATTTTGTTATTTTAGATAATAGGAACAAATACAATTATGATCATGCATTGGAAATCAACTCAACACAAGTGTAAGTGTGTGATTATATTTTTTTTTATTTGCTTATGACTAAACTGAAGCATGGAAAATTCAAGGAAAAGGATAAAT